CACAGTGGTTAGAGCGCTTGCTTTTTAAGCAAAAGATCCAGGTTCGAAACGAGTTATGAACATATTTTCGCATCACGGTAAGGAAGGTGGCGTGAACTTCCGGGTTAAATGTACTTCTGCGGTGTTCTGTGAATAGACCGTCTTTTTGGAGCACCTAAATGTTTAACTGCTTTTATAAAAATATAAATTCACAAATTTTAAAAGATTTAAATACATATTTAAAAGATTTAAATACATATACAAATGTAGGCCTTCCAATCAAGCATATTTGGCAAAACCCCGCACATATAGACCTTTTTGAAAAAATCCCACATGTGCTTTTTGGAGCCAGCATGCCCCTGCAAGCAGAGCAATATGAAAATATGGAGCTCAGAAAATTAAGAGACACAATAAATGCAGCGAGAAGACCAGATGATCCCTTTAGATCATAGATTATCCTGGTCATATTTGAAATATCTGGAAAATTATTTTTATAAAAATATCTGGAAAAATCCGGGAATCAAAACGTTTTTTTGTGTATTCAAGAATATTTCATGTGCTTTATAAGTTAGCTTTTATTCTCCTATATAAAAGAGTATTTTAATACTTAATTAAAAAGAGTTTATAAATTAAAATAAACTAGATTTTTAGGTGAAGCAGTCAAAATAATTAAAGTGATCTTTAAGTGCTGAGTGTTTACATATCTTAAATAATCTTTTAATAATAAGTTTCATATTATTTAAATGTTCCAAATCATTATCAAAAAACTTTCAACTTTTTTCAAACAAAAACCTCAATAAGTAAATGCTTAAAAAATATAACTTATTTTTGTTTTATTTTAAAAAATAAAATTAGTATTAGTGTGATAGATATAAGATATGTAAAGTTAAAAAGTATGATTCAAGTTTTGCTGATAAAATCTTAAAACCAAAATAACAATTTTTATTTGGATTTAGAAAGAAAATATTGCAATAAAATTTGAAAAAATTGGAAAAATTTAGAATCTTGTGTGAATAAAATAAAGTCAATATAGCTGGAATAACTGAAACATGGTTTCAGTGAAAATCATCCATTGTACAGTTAGAAGGTTACACCGTATACAAGAAAAATAGATCTGATGGGCAAAAAGGTGGTGGAGTTGCCTTGTACATAGCCTTGTACACTTGTACAACCTCACATCATATGAAATAAGTATTGGTAATCAGGACAGCAAAATAGAACAAATATAGGCCATTGTTGTAATTAGAAATTTCAAATACCTCATTGGATGTATATATAGACCAAATGATCAAGTAGACATGAATGATCTTAGACAAATTATACATGGTGTATAAAATAAAGCAGATGACAAAATATATGCGGATGTAGTAACACTAAAAGATTTTAATTTTCCAAACATTATTTGGAATAGTGGATATATTGAGAGCGTAAACAGTAATTCAAAGTAATGTTGAGAGTGTAAACAGAAAATTCAAAGAAACGCATATTTACTAATATAAAAAATGACAAATTTTTATTTTAGCATGTTAATATTACAACTTTTTAACTGTCAAAAACACAGTTAAAAAACACACTGGACTTGATATTTACCAACGACAGTAACAGAATATTTGAGCTACAATCACATGAAGCTCTGGCGTGTACAAACAAGGGGCATTTAGTATTGACATCTTGAACTAAACATTTAACAGAGTAGCAGAACACCAATATAAATTTGACTACACTACACTAAAATAGCAGAACAAAATATAAATTTGACTACACTACACTAAAATAAGCGAAAAAGTTAACTCAATCAACTGGAACTTCTGTTTCCATAAATCAACAACAAAAACAAATATACAATACCTTTTATATTAAACTATCTGAGTAATTTATATATACCAAAAATTAATGTTAATGCAAAACACAAACACAAGAGAAATCCATGGTTTAGCGATAACCTAAGCATTAAATTTTAACATAAGCGGGGATCCATACTAGGGTCATTCTTTTTTGAAGCATACATCAATGACATACCAGAGAAAATCAAAAGTACAGTAAAAATATATGCAGATGACACCAAAATCTTATCAGCAGTAAATTCAGTTAAGGGTGCTAAATTAATTCAAAGAGATTTTAATAATATAGAAGAGTGGTCAGAAAAATGGTTAATAAAACTGAACAAGAGCAAATTTGGGGTTATGCATTACGGTAAAAACAACATTAAATTCAATTACACAGTTAATGGATCAGAAATAAACAATTTGACAAACGAAAGTGATTTGGTGTAAATTTTGATACATCACTGAAATGGAAGAAGCACAAAGTAACATGTTCATCAAAAGCAATAATGGGTATGATAAAAATCGCCTTGGTCCATTTAGATCAGCATCTTGTTAAGCAATTATAAACAACTTTTGTTAGACCTCTGATTGAATTTGCAACACCAGTTTGGTCACCAAACTACAAAGGTGACATTAAAATATTAGAAAAAGTACAGCACAGAATGACAAGGATGGCAAAGAATATACAGCGATGTATCTAGGCCGATTTTGATACCAGTATACCGGTATGGGCCCCCAAATCTCAGCCCAAACTCAATTTAAAACAATTTTATATAATCATTTGTTATGATAGTAATGTCGCTTAGAAAAACCAACTTTTGAAAAACAACTTTTAAAATACATTATAAATGTATTTTAAGCCAACCAGAATGCTTAATTCAAATTCATATTGATGAAATATAGAATATGTTGTAATTGGAATAAAATGTAAAACGCACAACTTGATTGGATTAAAATATAAAACGCTTATCATTTTCAAAAAACATTTTTAAAATACATTAATTTGAGTTTCTCCTACGCCAATGTTTTCATAACATAATTTTTAAAGCGATTAACCTATATGAGATTTAAACTTTTCATTTTAAATAACAGTAAAATTGTATTTAAAATATTTTAAATAATAAAACTAATAAAAGTTTTTAAAACATAATAACATTTTAATATTCGCACCAAAAAACTTGATTTGAAAAGTAAAAGTAGAACCAGAAAAAAAAAGTTATTAATTTTTGAATGAAGTAATTAAAATTTTGAACGAATTGACCTTGTTATGCAATAAATACCCTATGTAAAGTATATACAAAAGAGACATACAAATATTGTTTATTAAACGTTATAGATATTGCTTGTTTATGAAATCATACTCTTTATATTTATAGTTATTAATATTTAATATTTTTAATTTAACAATTTAATTTAATAACTTCAATTTAATAATTTAATATTTAGTATTAATTATAATTTATAATTAGAAAGCGAATAGAGCAAGTAAATGAGTTAGTTAAATAAATTAGCAATTAGCAACAAATTGATGTTGGAGCTAAAGCCGTCATTCTGTAATAAATGTAACATTATTTTTGTTAATTATTTAAATTTGAATTAGAAAAAGTTAAAATACTAGGACGAGTTATATATTATAGACAAATAATTATGTTTAAATTTGAGTAGGAAATAAAAAAAAAAAGGTCCTCCAAGGTAGACAGGATTTTTAGACCAGTATGCCCAAAAAATTTATGGATACTTCACTGATATAGGAAGTCTGCAGTACCAATACTGCTTACAGACACTAAATTTAACAACATTGTCAGAAAGAAGACAAAAAAGAGATCTTGTTCAAGTATTTAAAATTTTCAATTAAAACCAAAAAAGTGTAACTTTTAAACAAACAAACTTTCTCAAAATCACACACAAAATCACAAAAACCACAATAAAAATACAGTAGAGAAAAAACTAAGTTTACACCGAGACACAAACTCCTGATAAACAAAACTGCAAATTTAAGTCGTTAATTTTATGTCAACAAATGTAAATAATTTCAAATACAAATTAGAGGTATATTTAACATCAAAAATTAACTTAAAAACTGTTTTTGTTTAACTTACTTAGCTTAAAGTTTAATGAAGAACCATTTTTCCAAATTTTTTGAAAATTGTCATAATTTACCTGATCATTTTCTAATTTTTTTGCAAATATCTGAATTCCATGACTTTTTCCTGTTTTCCCTAAACTTACAGACACCATGTAGTGTCAAATTCATTTGCAAAAGAAGTTAGCAATTTATTTGTTGTTAAATGTGCAGGTGTTAGGTTTGTGTGTTGATTTAATATTAATTAATGGACTAACAAAGGAGTTGTTAGTTTTTACTCAAAGAATAAATTTGCCTGAATTTATTTTAAAAGGTAGAGCTGTTAAAACATGATCCAATCTTTTTTAATTGTATTCATGTAAAAGTGTAGATGATACCTGTTTCGAATTTAAATTTATTTAGATGAGATTTAAATGTGTGTTACATAAAACTTTTTTTTTTTCAATTTTATTTGTTTTGTTGTTTGTTGTTGTTTTATATGCAAAAAAAACTTATTGAAGAGTTGTTTGTTTTACTTAGAGCATAATCTTGCCTGAATTTGTCTTTGACTGTATGTCTGTTAAAACATGATCCATATTCTAGCTGTGCAGATTTTTATGGAGTATAATGGAACATGAAATAAAACATTTCAGTTTATTTTTTTGTGAAAGAGAAAACAATTTTATATTTTATATTATCGACAATACAAACAAAAAATTTTCCAAAAAGAAAAACATAAACTAGGTGTGTATTAAATTCAAATAAAATTTTTAATCCACATTTTTGCTATAAATAATCCTTAAACATTTTCTATCAAAACTTTTCTATTAGGTCATCGTTTCAATTTTTAACAATTTATTTAATTTAAAACAATTTTTTGCTCTCAAACTGAGAGCATGAACTTTTTAAATTTTTTAGTTTCAAATATATTTCAAGAGGATAAGAATGTTATAAAAATTTTATTAAGTGAAACTTGACAACAAAATCAGGCTTAATGGTTATTTATGACATATGTTTAAATAGTGTTTAAATTTAGAATTTAATAATTTCCTAATTTTGACACCTTGGTAGAAAAGGTAAAGTGAAAATAAATATATTAACTTTCCAAAACTATAAAGTTAACATAAATTTACCAACACAGCTGTCATTAGTTGAACTTAGTGACCAACCAGCACTGCATGAGCAAATAAAACTACCTACAGTGTTTTTGCAAACACCATAAGGCCAACTACAAGCTTTGTTAACTGAACATTCATTTGTATCTAAAAAAAGAAATTATATATAAATATATATATATATATATATATATATATATATATATATATATATATATATATATATATATATATATATATATATATATATATATATATATATATATATATATATATATATATATATATATATATATATATATATATATATATATATATATAAATTTATACAGGGAAACAAACAAATTTATCTTTTATATAAAAAAAAAAATTAAAATTTTATATAAAAAAAAAAATTAAAAGTAAAAATGTTTAAGATTAAAATTTAATTACTTGTTTTTTTTATAGAAAACGTATTTTTTTTATTTGATGCAATACTAATTAAATTCAAATTAGTTACTAATTAAATCAAAGTCAGCCTTCATATAAAATCTATTCATTATAAATCTATTCCTTAGTATAAAATCTATTCATATAAAATCGGCTCTCTCTCATGTATAATCTTTTTTTTTTTTATGTTATTTAATCCATAATAATAAAAGAAAATTTGCTAACATCTTATGACTGTAAAAAGTGATAATTGTGAGAAAAAAAATTTACTAACATTTCATGACTGTAAAGATATTTGTAAAAAAAAAATGAGTGTAATACAAGTTTTGTTTCAATTTCTTTCACATTCAAATAATTCCGCTTAGCAAGACAATGTTAGACACAAACTTTTTATAGGTATTATACTTATAATTAAAACAAAAAAAGGCAGTTTTGTTTTCAAATTTAAACTTTTAGATAAGATCCCAGAGGTTTTTTCAGATATTTAGTTAACAAAAATGTGTTTTAGAATACTTACATTTTGTTTGCCATAGCAGGGATTGTAAACAGTACCTTAAGTCATCAGTTCAAAAATTGTTGATTCTTGCAGGATTAATTTGAATCATTTGAGTTGTTTTCATCAATAAAATAGATGTGAGGAACAGAATTGGATTGGTTGATAAGCATAAGCCTAATTTTTTAGTGTTAAGTTGCATGATCCATAATTGACCCTAATTGGCAATGTTATTAATGACAACATGAAGATAAAGTATGCTTCCTAAATTTTTAACTACACTGAGGAGTAGTGTCACCATAAATTTATGTTATGTTTATGACACTGTGTTATGGAAATTATTGATAAAGACTATAAATAGTGTTGGATTAAACTGAGCTTTGCAAAACACTACTACTAACCTGACTCCATTCTGATGGAATGACATAAAAAAAAAAACTCAGAGCGCTCTTTTGAAAAAAAGACATTTATACAATTTAAAAGATTGTTCCTAACTCTACACAAGTAAATCTTTTTAATATGTAGATTAGTTTTAATATGTTCTTTGTAATATTTAGTTTTTCCAGTTGTGCTCTATAATAACAACTTATTAAATTTTGATTTATTAAGGCCAATTAAAAAATAATCAAGATAAAATAATACCCTGTATCGTTTTTATTGTTGCAGATGAAAACAAAGAATATAAAGATTTTAAAATAATTGATCAATCTTTTCAATTATTCTTCAAAAGATTTTTTTAATTTTTTAATAAACCTTTTTTGGAGGAACATTGTTAGGGACCTTCTTGTACGTACGCAGGTATAGGGGAGGGGGAATCTAAAAACTGGTTTGACTATCTCTCGTTCTGTACCTCTTTTTCAATTTTTTTTTTTTTTATAATTTTTTAAACTTGTGAAATTCAATGCTGTTGGCATTAAATTTCACAAGTTTTTAAAAAACAATGTTATTAAAAAGAATTAACTAGAATAAATTTTTTTGACATTTTTTTTTAAATAAAGTTTTTTTTGTTTTTAATATTTTGAAAAATGTGTCTGTGTAGGGGAAGGGGGTTAGTTAATAATAACAATGTGATATGTGTAGGGAAAAGGGGGTTTGATTTGTAATAAAAAATGTGTGTCAGTAGAATGAGGAGGTCTTACTAAAGCTTACAAGTGCATACAAGGGGGATTCATAAACCAGTGGTTTTACTGTGTACATGCTTTAAAAATGCCCCATTAGAAAAAATCAAGAAGAAAAACATCAATGGGAAATTTATGGGATGCAGTGCAAATAAGGAAATCTTTAGTTTCAATTATTTTTTTTGCCTTTAATAATTTTTTTATTATTTTATATGGTAGAGAAGTGAAGGAAAGTTTTGTACATAGTTGACTTTGTAATATAGCCATTTTTAAACAATGGAGTTACAATTGCTACAAACCATACCTTTACCACTATACCTTGCTCCAATGATATCTTGACAAATGGAGCTACTTATGTGCTGGTATATCTTATAAAAATATAAGAACTTATTCAATCTTACCTCAAGATATTTGTGAACATATTGGTATTAAATAAAAGGTTTAAAGTTAAAGCAGATAAGTGTTTGATAATAAATGCAGATTCAAATTATAGCATAGAAGATCCAGATTAGAATACCCAGGGATCTGGATCTATTTTGTTTAGGTATTCGGCCAACTTCATTTTTAAATAATATTACTTTTTAAGATGTTTTCACACAAGATTACTTTTTATAAACTTGATAAATCCACACATCAAGCTGTAAAAAAACAGTCAGGCTAGTGGAGCTGACTGTTTTTTTACAGCTTGGCTCTGACTCCTAAGAAATATCCAGCTCCGGTTCGGCTCACGGCTCGGTTCCAACTCCTGAACTTTATGAACAAAATTTGCAAGTCTTGGAATATTTTTTTTTATCACATTTGCTAACCCAAAACTATACCAATTACAGCAATTAGTTTTTTACCAACTCTCATAATTAAAAGGTTATTTTATTACTATCACTACTCTATTATATTATATTTGAAAAGAAAAATGTTTTAAGTAAATAAAAACTTTTTTTCCAAACATTATTTACCTAAAACTAGAATATTCAGTTCAAATTTTAGTTCTAATTTTACTCAGGGGCACGCTACCAAAAAAAGACGTCTTTTGAACGTCTCAAAAACATCTAAAACATTCAAAAGACATCCAATATATTCAAAAGATGTTTAAAAGACGTCTTTCTTACTCCCTCACTGAGTCCTGTGTCCACTGGATACTCATTGGGCATGGGACCTAAAATAGACGTATTTTAAACATTCAAAAGACTTTCAAAACGCTCTAAAGATGTTTAAAAGACCTCTTTTGCATGTTCCGTGCTTGCTGGGTAGAACATGCAATCGTTAAATTCAAAATAATAAAAAACTAAAAAAAAATGAAAAATAGTTTAATTAATGCAAAAACTACAAAAAATATTTATTTTAATCTAAGGAACTTGAAGATTATAAAAGTGCTTTTTATTTTAATATTTTTCCTTATTTCATATAAATAAGCAAACATTTACGCTAATCGAGGACATCAACTTTTGCACAGTGTCTTTTTTTTGACAATTTTTTTTTCCTACTAATGTCCACTCTCTAATCAAATCTTTAGCTGTATTTAATGTTTTGCCAGTTTTATGCAAATATTCTTTGCCAATTCCCCCAAATTTTTAAATAGGATGGAACTGTGTGCAGATTGATGGATTCAAGTTTTTTAGTATGAATTTGATGCCCTTGGACTGTACCACTCTTCTTAGAATAATGACAAGAAGCAAGATTAGGCCAGATTCAACAGGAGACATTGTGACTTCAATAAAATTGCAAAAGTCTAGCTTGCAAGTATTCTTTGATGAAAATATCTGAGTTTAAAGTTAATGATGAGACAAAAACTCTAGATCTCAAGCCACATCTGCATATTGCTTGCCAAAATTTAATCTTTAAAAAACTTTATACCTTTTGGGTTGTTCTCTGTTTGATAAGCCAGGATTTTGCGTGAATGATCGTCAAATACTAATTGCTGCTTTCTTATCCTTAAAGCTACTCTTTCTTCCAGATCAAAAAAAAAAAATTTAGTGACAAGTTTTAAAACAAAATTCATTGTTCCAAATTTAACGATCTCATGCTTTGGAATAATTTAGTATAAGATAAGAATAGACTTTGATCACTAAATCGCGCATCAAATATTTAAAATCACAGTGTCAGTATAAAAATACAATAAAGTGTTTCAGTCAAATTTAGAACCGCTTACATTTTTTTTCAATACTCGACAGAAAAACTAGAATAGAAATTAAACGGATTAAGATTTTTCAATTATTTTTTTTTTATTTTATTAAATAAGGTATGTTTTATAATTTTTTATAAGTAAAAAAAATAGCAAAAAAACATAAAAAATAAAAAAAATGAAAGAAAACAAGTAGACATAAAAAAGGGTAGTAAAAAAAATAAGTTAAATATAACACATTTCAAAAAAATTCAAATTTCAATATTTAAAATGACCACCGCAAGCTTTTATACATGAAAGAACTCTCCTAGACATAGACTCAATCAATTTCATGCAGAACTCTTTTGGAATACTCTTCCATGTCTATTCTATTGCTTTCTTTAAGTACTCAACCAACGTCAGCCTGGTGTGCATTAATTGGCGGTCCATCCAGGCCCAAAGATTCTCAATCGGATTCAAATCAGGTGATCAGGCAGGCCAGGGCATCACTTGGATCTTCTTCTCTGAAAATCAGGCTTTTATCGACTTGGCAGTGTGTGCAGGAGCCCCATCTTACTGAAAAATCCATTTGCGTCTTCTGAAAAATTCTCGGGCTGATGGAATTAAACGCTGCTCCAGAGTTGTTTTGTAGTTATATTGATTGATCCAACTGGTGTATGTATTGCAGAGACCAATACCTTTATGAGAGATGCAACCCCAGACTCCTGCCAACCCTCCTCCGCCTTGTATTCTTGGTGATACCATGCGCGTGTCATACTTCTGCCATTTCTTTCTTTTGACATAAACTCGTTCTTTGCGCTTTATGACCTCGAAATTGGATTCATCACTGAAAATACACTTCGCCCAATCTTCTACTGACCAACTGGCATGTTCTCGGCACCATTTCACTCGTCTCAACCAGTCTCGTACTGTCAAAAGTGGCTTCCTAGCAGCAATGTACGAAATGATTCCTTTTTCTTTTAAAACCTTTCTTACCGTTTCATAGCTA